TGTTAATGTACAATCCTTAATGTTTTGTGTATGGGGGGTGTGTGTGTGGGGGGCACAGAGGTGTTCGCCCAGGGTGCCAAACAGGCTAGGACTGCCACTGCTCACAAAGATGTCTAAACAGGAACACACACACAGGTCTGACTTGGCTAAATTCCAAGTCAAAAAAGAGGTTTCTCACACAACTTCACTAATTCCCAGGTGCATGTCAGAATGCACCTGTCAGACAGAAAAGTTGTATTCATCCTGGAGTTTGACTTCAAAATCCAGTTCAGTCAGTAAAGTGGGTTTGTGTCAAAAAATAAGTTTGTAAATGAAGTTACAATGGTACCAGAGAGCACAGTGGAGGAGCATCAGTCAGATTTCACTTAAAATTGCCCATCCACTGAACCACAGCATTCACTTTGTTTGGTCACAGGTGCGATGTACGGCAACGGCTCTTACTTTGCTGTGGACCCAAGCTATTCAGCAGGGAACTACGCCACGCCCGACACCAATGGACACAAGCGCATGTACCAGGCCAGAGTTCTAGTTGGAGACTACGCCCAAGGACGAAAAGGCATGATCACCCCTCCTCCCAAATCTGGGAGTGCCTCAGACCTGTATGACAGCGTCACAAATAACACTGCTAAACCAACCATGTTTGTGGTCTTCAATGATATCCAGGCCTACCCAGAATACCTAATTACATTTACATGAAGTGCCATACTCCCACTGTGCAACACGTCTCAGGAAAAAAAAAAGACCTGTAATATATGTTGAGTTCAAATTCAGTCAGCAAAAAACATTTCAAATAATATAAAAAGACTCTTTGAAAAGGCTTTTGCTATTCTAGTTTATCCTCTTTCAGATTTCACATTGTATTTTAAATCTGTTCAAAGGGTTTTTAAAGAAACATTAAAGTAGCACTCCAACAAATTCCAATGATTCTCTTGTCAATTATTTTTTACGCCTAAAGGACTGTACTAGTGTTGTGTATAGCGATATGTTGATAATGTTGTATTTGATTTGATATCAAGCAATGAATGGAATTAATGATTTTAAATTTGACTGGATATATTCCTGTAGTAGTGACTTGTGGTTTTGCTTTGGTCATGAAAGGCCATTCGCCTTTATAGAGCTAATGGTATTTGTGTTTCAAGGCCTTCTGACCTGGATGGTTGAGAACCTGCAGAGATGATGGTATTCATGCTAAAGATTCTCTAATTTTCCTTCAGCTCTACTGTGATGTTACCATTCAAATTTTTTTCTAAATTATGGAAACTAGTTGGTGACATTTGTGTCATATTTTCATGTCCCCCAGACTTAAAATTGAAAAATGCCTACTACCCACAGTTTAAATTTTTGGATTCCAGCACAAGTCTGAATATTCAGTCTTACAATTATAACAACAAAGACTTCCCTGGATCTGAATTGGACACTCAGAAGGTCAAAGTTGGCCCATGTCACATAACATCATTCGTTCATTCATTACAACATTCATGTAGAGCTTTCCATAACTTTGAGTAATCCTGAAAACAAACAAGTAGACTAATCCAATTAAATTTTTTATTTGAATAATGCTTCAGTCTGCAGGTTCATGACATCATCCAACTCTGGACGACTCAAACTGAACACACTGACCATCACTATTTTGGTATTTAGAAACCAGATGTCACGAGTAAGTTGCTGACTCACTGCTTGACTCATGGCAGTAACTCGTCAGTCATAAGATAGGCCTGCCCTAAAGTATACTCTGATTTTTCTTTCTTTGTTTTTTTAACTTGGAACTTTGGCTTTAAAAACATAATATCATGAATTATTAAACAAGACCATAAACTCAGCAAAGTGTGAGTGAGCAGTAGGCTCACTTCCTCACAGGATGCTGCTGTTATTGTCCCTCAGTTCTCTTCATTGAATTTCTTTTCTGTCTCTCTGCCTTATCTTTGTCTCTCTCCACTATCTGCATGCGTTTGTTGTGGTCTGTGTTTGTTGGTGGGACTCATCTTGGGTTTTTGCCTCTGGCCTGACACACCTGTGGCAATCACAAAGTTGTCTCCGATGATCTCATTACCAGTCACTACTGAAGATGGTGTTTCTTTCCTGGATTGTTGAACTACACAGTTTCTGCCTCCTGCTCTGTGCTGCTCCTGTTTCTCCTGGAAACACATTTACTGTGTGTTTCTTCTGTGCAGTTTGCTGGATTTCCTTTCCGAGGTGTAGTGAGCAGAGTGTTGCAATGGATTTTTGGATGTGGGGGTTCCCTTTCTCCCTGGACCACTATTGAAGCACTATTCCTCTCTTCGCCTTGTGTTTTTGCATGAATAACTTTAAATAAATATGTGCGTAAATAAGCGCAATGAATTTTGACTTTCTGAGTTCTGTGTTTGAGTCCAGTTTGCCCATCAGCTGTGACATTGTTATGATCAAACTTCTCTTTACAACCACATGAGTCGCCCCCTGCTGGACAGAAAGAAGAATCAGAATCAGAAAGGGTTTTATTTCCAAATGTTGAGCAGGTTTACAACATTAGGAAATTGCTGCAGTGCTTAGTGCAAACATGCTGTCATATAACGCTTAAATAAGCATAAAAATTAAAATTAAAAGTGCTAAATAGATAGATATATACATGATATACAGTGGGGCAAAAAAGTATTTAGTCAGCCACCGATTGTGCAAGTTCCCCCACTTAAAATGATGACAGAGGTCAGTAATTTGCACCAGAGGTACACTTCAACTGTGAGAGACAGAATGTGAAAAAAAAATCCATGAATCCACATGGTAGGATTTGTAAAGAATTTATTGGTAAATCAGGGTGGAAAATAAGTATTTGGTCAATAACAAAAATACAACTCAATACTTTGTAACATAACCTTTGTTGGCAATAACAGAGGTCAAACGTTTACTATAGGTCTTTACCAGGTTTGCACACACAGTAGCTGGTATTTTGGCCCATTCCTCCATGCAGATCTTCTCGAGAGCAGTGATGTTTTGGGGCTGTCGCCGAGCAACACGGACTTTCAACTCCTGCCACAGATTTTCTATGGGGTTGAGGTCTGGAGACTGGCTAGGCCACTCCAGGACTTTCAAATGCTTCTTACGGAGCCACTCCTTTGTTGCCCGGGCGGTGTGTTTTGGATCATTGTCATGTTGGAAGACCCAGCCTCGTTTCATCTTCAAAGTTCTCACTGATGGAAGGAGGTTTTGGCTCAAAATCTCACGATACATGGCCCCATTCATTCTGTCCTTAACACGGATCAGTCGTCCTGTCCCCTTGGCAGAAAAACAGCCCCATAGCATGATGTTTCCACCCCCATGCTTCACAGTAGGTATGGTGTTCTTGGGATGCAACTCAGTATTCTTCTTCCTCCAAACACGACGAGTTGAGTTTATACCAAAAAGTTCTACTTTGGTTTCATCTGACCACATGACATTCTCCCAATCCTCTGCTGTATCATCCATGTGCTCTCTGGCAAACTTCAGACCGGCCTGGACATGCACTGGCTTCAGCAGCGGAACACGTCTGGCACTGCGGGATTTGATTCCCTGCCGTTGTAGTGTGTTACTGATGGTGACCTTTGTTACTTTGGTCCCAGCTCTCTGCAGGTCATTCACCAGGTCCCCCCGTGTGGTTCTGGGATCTTTGCTCACCGTTCTCATGATCATTTTGACCCCACGGGATGAGATCTTGTGTGGAGCCCCAGATCGAGGGAGATTATCAGTGGTCTTGTATGTCTTCCATTTTCTGATGATTGCTCCCACAGTTGATTTTTTCACACCAAGCTGCTTGCCTATTGTAGATTCACTCTTCCCAGTCTGGTGCAGGTCTACAATACTTTTCCTGGTGTCCTTCCAAAGCTCTTTGGTCTTGGCCATGGCGGAGTTTGGAGTCTGACTGTTTGAGGCTGTGGACAGGTGTCTTTTATACAGATGATGAGTTCAAACAGGTGCCATTCATACAGGTAACGAGTGGGGGACAGAAAAGCTTCTTACAGAAGACGTTACAGGTCTGTGAGAGCCAGAGATTTTCCTTGTTTGAGGTGACCAAATACTTATTTTCCACCCTGATTTACGAATAAATTCTTTACAAATCCTACCATGTGGATTCATGGATTTTTTTTTCACATTCTGTCTCTCACAGTTGAAGTGTACCTCTGGTGCAAATTACTGACCTCTGTCATCATTTTAGGTGGGCGAACTTGCACAATCGGTGGCTGACTAAATACTTTTTTGCCCCACTGTATACATGAGTGCAGGTGGTGATCAGTGCCAAACATGAAATGATGCAGTGAACACAGCGTAGGGTCATGTGTTTGTGGCGGGGACAGTCATATGGTTATTGTTCATGTGTCCAACAGCAGAGGGGAAGAAACTGTTCTTATGGCGAGAGGTTCTGGTGCGAATGGACCGGAGCCTCCTGCCTGAGGGGAGCAGGTCAAACAGACTGTGTCCAGGGTGAGAAGGGTCAGCTGAGATCCGAGCTGCACGCCGCAGTGTCCTGGAGATGTACAAGTCCTGCAGAGATGGGAGTCTGCAGCCAATCACCTTCTCAGCAGAGCGCACAACACGCTGCAGTCTCTGTTTGTCCCTGATAGTGGCTCCAGCGTACCACACGGTGATGGAGGAGGTGAGGATGGACTCGATGATTGCAGTGTAGAACTGCATCATCGTCCGTGTTGGCAGGTGATTCCATCCTGGTTTGTCATTGTAGTGTTTTGGTTTCTTTCTCACTCTTTCTAGCTCCTTAGCCCTTTAGTATTTCTTGAGTTCTAGTTTTAGGTTTTGTTATGCGTTTCCTGTTTTACCTTTAAGGTCTGTGTTTCTTGTCTCATCACATCAGGTAGGATCAGCTGTGCCTACCTCCTGTTTTGCCATTCCTCGTTCCCCTCCACGTATGTATACTGTATAGTGTGTGTTTGACTGTGCTTGTTGTTGGTCTGCCTGCGTTAGTTGGTGTTTCTCTGCGTCTCCCCGCTACGTGTTTCAGGTGTGTTCATTCGTTTTCCCAGTTTAGGGCATTTCTTACTTCTGTCCTTACCACCCTCACTTTTGGTTTGTATATCCCTCACTGTAAATAAACGCTCACTCACATCAACCCACTCCCTGCATTTTGGGTACTTTACTCTCACAAACCACACAGCTGTGGCAATTGTTTCATTTGTTTTAGTTACAACTGCAACCGTAACACCCTTGTTGTTCTTTTTCCAAGTTTGAGATCCAAGTTGAAATTAAAAAAAAATAGACTTCCAAGTAGAGCTGGGCGATATTAGATTTTTTCATATCACGATATGTTTTTTTCATTTCAGGCGATAACGATATCTATCACGATATCAGCCAAATAACTATATTTGTAAGATTTAAATGTGCCGTTGCTCACAAGTAAAATGTGAAATAATCAGCAGCTTGTTTTGATTTAAATATTTATTTCCCATAATAAGTTCAACAGGGCAGATGCACTTAAAATGAGGCTTCAGTTTAGGCAAATTAAAGGCAAATATTACAAACTACACAAAAGGCAGCCACTAAAGCATTTAAGTTTCAAAATAGAACAAACAAAACAGACTAAACTGTCAATTCCACTTAGAAACAAAATATTAATTCTAAAAATAAATCTGTTTGTTTTACAGAAAAAGAGACAAAATAGACCAACTTAATATAATATTGCTTATTATTATTATAATTATTATAATAACTTTAATAATAATATTGCTTGTGTTAAT